GCCCGCGGCTCCTGGCCCCCCCGGGGAGGGGGAGCCGTGCTGCTGCCGCGGCTGCCTTGTCTCTGTGGGGAAAGGCCCGGGGGGGCCTGGCGCAGAGACAGCACCTGTGGTTTTGAAAGAGCTGCTCAGGCGGTGGGGTGGAACACCGCACGCAAGGCGGAAGGAGCAGCGTTAAAACATAGGAAGGTGACTTACAGGAAAACGAGGAAGGATAACCCTCCCGAGGGTGTTCCACTTGTCCGTACTGAGCTGGACAGGCATTCAGGCGCAGCACACCAAACACGGAGCATTCTGCTTCTGCCCATCCAAGTGGACCAGAGGGTTGTCGGTACTGCACGGCTTTCGGCTCCCCGAACTGGTGTGCCTGAAAACCAAGAGATCCTTTAGAAGATGCAGGATCTCAGAACAGCTGTACGAGGGAGCGTGCAGCTGCATCGTGGCTGGTCAGCCACCTCTCCCCGAAACACCTGAATTGCTAATAGTACCTTGGTGGAAACCATCAATCTATTGTTTGTCAGCATGCGTGTATATACATACATGCATACATACATGTATACACATTTCACACTGCATGGCATGAGGGACGTGGGGTTTTTTCCCCTTTCTCCATTACTATATGCTCGTGGCCACCTTGACCGGATGAGCCACTCTGTTTCCAGTCTCCTATTTGAGTTACATCCCGCCCTCTCTGTATGCAGAATTCAAGACTGAATGGCATGCATCAATATTCAAAATTTGGCCCATCAGCCTTGAAATCGCTAACCTGGAGCTATATTACCCTTCAGCTCCTTACAGCCACGCGTTCAGGACTCCCCACCGCCACCTCTTGAAAACATCAAGAGTATTAGACTCGGCGTTTTTCCAGCTGATGGCCACTTGTTGACTCTTACTGCTTGTTCAGTGCCAGCAGTGTGGGAGCCAGGAAAGAGTACCTTTATTGCATATTTGCATTTAAAGAGTCAGCCGTTACCCAATTCAGTTTTGGAATACAGTATGTGCTGCTTTTTGATCAAACAAGTTAGGATAGGTGAAAATCGTTATGGGAATTAATAGCACAAATCCTAAACCGGATAGCTCTCAAGACACAGTTTTATGCTTGGCTTAAACCAGCATAAGTCCCCGGGAGTGTCTTGACAGCCCCATTTCTGGGCATCTGCTGCTGTTGCACAGCTTCATGGACTGGGGTGGACGTTAAGCGGATTCAGATCCTCTTTGTCAGGATGGTTTAATGTCTCCCAAAACAGCCTTCCTGACGCGCTGCAGCATGTCATGGCACGCTGTGCCTGCTCAGTGTCCCAAACAGAGGTCTGCGTCCTTGCAGCCATGCACAATGTCGGGAGGCCGCTGTGGCAAATAGCAGCGTGGGGGTTCCTTTGTCTTTGCAAGCAGATGCAGCCGTGCGCGTGTGCCGTACATCCTCCAGTGCCAGTGACCACGGTTGCTGCCACGGGCTCAGCAGGCTTCTTCAACACTTGTACAATACTATGAAACCGCTGCGTGTCAGTGCCCTAATCCTGTGCCCTTGCAGTGCATCCTCAGCCACCCACACGGGGCCTCTGCACTGCGTATCCCAGGCTTGTAAAACGAAAGGTTGAGAAAGAGTTACCAGCTCCAGAGTTGCATGGCTGGGTAGATGCTCCAGGGATGACAACTCCAAGACTGTGCATGACTCACCCTCTGTCTTTACTACCATGGAAACTGAATAATGAATCAGAAGTGCTTGTTATTCTCTTCACCTCCCAAGGTGCATACCTGAGGCACACAGGGCTACCGCTGCACATCACTGACTGGCGCCTGGCAGTTGTCAGAGTACAGAAGAAGCAAGGGCTGAAGAAGGAGTATTTCATGACTTTATAGAAATCTCTGAGAAAGAAATGCGTTTACCAGAAACAGAGAGCATTTCTCAGGGGTGAAAAACAGGTCACAGGTAAAAAGAAAGGGGCTTCTCATTTTCAAGAAAATGAACGATGGACTCCTGGTGGCTGCAGCGATCAGGGAAGAAACTTGTGATAGAGCCCAGTGGTGACCTTGGAGGCCACAGAAATGGCCAGTATCCAGCCAAGAGCAATAATGACCAAGCAAATCTTATTGCTGGAGCACACTCAGACAAAGCTGGTTCCCCACCGTGGCATCTTGCTGCACTCAGGAGGCATTGAGTTTCACTACCCATGTCCCACAAGACCTGCATCCCACCAAGCACCACCAAAATAGCCCTATGATTCAGAGAGTCCAGCAGCAGCAGCACTAAAAGCTTTGTGAACGATACCCTATGCGGAGCACATGCATCTGAGGAAGCCCTCCAAGCCTCCCCTCACCCTCTGTGGATGGAAGCAATGACTCACCATGAGGCAGAAGGCACTGTTTGTTCGGATTCAACTCCTGGATGCTCATTAGTGCGAAGTGGTTGTAATGAATTACGTTGCCTTATGCATTGAAGCTCTCTGAAATCATAGTCCTTTCCTTCTGTATGCTGTACCTCCTCTGTGCTTCTCTGTCAACGTCACTAAACTCAACGTTATCATTTCAGCCTCATTTCCCATGGAAGCAAGGCCTCTGCTTGGCCTCCTCGGGCATCTCCTCTGTCACTTGGGCTAGTCCTTGTCCCAGTGACTTTTCAACTTGTTAGCTTATTTGAGTTAAATCTGGCAGAAGGATAGAGGTCGCAAAAGTAATTAAGATCCTTAATTAAGTAATTAAGTTTCATAAAATAATTCATTTGAGATAGAAGAAAGTGGGGCTGTATGCCTACCAGTTCAGCTCAGGAACTTGTTGGTTTCCTCCAGGAGACATCAGATCTGTTATGGTGTAGCCAGATTACATTCAGGAGGAGGACTACAAAGGGAAAGCAGAGGAACTTGCGTAGGTGTACATTGAAAGTCTTAATACTGTTCAGTTAGAAAAAATTGATCTTTCAAGAGAGAGAAATCCATAGGAAACTGCATTTGATGAGATCTGTTGCTCAGGGCACTTCCTTTCCCCCTTTGCTCTCTTGCGTACCTCTGGAAAACATCCAGTTTCACTCCGACAGTTCTGTATTTTCAGTGGGAGTGCAAAGAATGCCGGATAAAATCGTAACTTCTTGTAATGTAAGTGAGCATTAGAGAAAAACCCAGTGAAAGGCAAACACCGAGTTTTTATGTCTTTCCTTACACCGCAGATACATTTCTTCTAAAAAACTATACGGTAAATATATTTGACAGTAAGCGGTGGACCCTAGCGCGATTTTGCTGCGAGTTAGCAAGACTTGCGGTGCCTCCCATGGGCGCTGATCCTGGGAGCGTGCAGCGAGGGGCAGGACGCGCGGGCTGGCGTGGAGCGGGGGTCCGCAGCAAGCCCCGCTGTGGGACCAGGAGGCAGATTCC